TGACTAGAGGATACAAAACTGATACAATCGACAATGCCTTTGGGAAAGCTACACAACACACACAAAAGCAACTACTTTACAATAACAACAACAAACCAAACAAAACGGAGACTCGACCAACTCTTAGCATTCCTTTCAATACTAACTCAACACATATTAGCCAAATCCTAAAAAAACACTGGTACCTAATAGAAAACGACCCAACGTTAAAAATATTATGGCCAAATATACCTATGGTCGCATACAAACGTAATAAAAACGTTAAAGAAATGCTAGTTAGCAGCAAACTGAAAAAGACTGGAAACAAATCCAGCGATTAATTACGCACAATGACACTATACGGAAACATAACACAAACAACAAATCACTGTGGTCATGCTTGCTTGAAAACATACACCAAAGACCAAGATAGAGAATGATGATGTCTGAAGACAATACCGAAACAAAAAGACATGATGATGGGGAGACAAAGAAAAAAAGAGACATAAGGAAGGCTCTTGTAGACAAAATACTTATCGTGCAATCAGATAACTAAAACTCGACAATGAAAATTTTTCATAATTTTCGGCCAAATATTAATCTCGGTTGTGAACACATCTCGATCAACAGATATCAAAAAATGATTAAAAAAGCATATGATTTATAAATCAAATAGCTACAAACTATAGGAACAAATGCATCCCTAATAACATCACAGCATCAAGGTTTAAACAATTGGAAATAAAATTCTAATTAATACATACACTCAGTGTATACACCACAATGTGTATATAAATCCTACTACACCCACACGCCAATTTGTATATAATAATATAAATCCACATCATGATGAACATAGTACTAATAATATTTTTACAGATGTTTATGTGTTTCTTATGTTTATGTTTTTTGTATGGTTTTTTTTTTGTTGCTGTTGTTTTTTTTTTGTTTTTTTTTTCTTTTTTCCTTCAATACATGTGCCTGGTCACAATGAAATTCCCTCTCTCACCAACTAGATCTGAGGGCGGACAGACAATTCTCACACTTATGACTAATAAAAATTTATTTTTTTTTGTACACATTCCTTGGTTATCAGTTTAGCCCACGGCACATCACACACTAATTATACATACACCTGACAAACATGCACGCCATCAAACCACATGACGTCAACTATTCAAAAACAACTCCCTAAAACTGGACTTCAGGGGCCCAACACCGATGCATTCTTGTACACGCACATTTGGAGAACAGACAAAAAAATTGTTTCAAAAAAGAAAAGGAAAACGCCCAGGGAATTGTATTAATTAACTCCAACAGTAGAATGGCTGGACGATGCGGTTTACCACCAAATAATTCATTCAGTAAGTTTTTTATATTAAGATAGTTAAATTTTGATTTTCCTGTGTTCCATTTCTATTCATCAATTTTTCATTGTTTAATGATTTCTATCATTTTACTACTCACCATTTCTCCATCACTCATTTTGAACAACACCAATCTCACTGCCATTTTTCACGCCAACAACCAACAAAACATCGACTCCCATCCCTAAAGCCCCTCCTGATGAAGGTCATGAGACCGAAACGCGTCGAGGGCCAAACAAATGAAAAAGCACAATTAACACAACTATATATACTGTATCTTTCATATGATATATACCATCCGCTAACATACCTCACAAGCACGGTCAACCCAAGACTCTGTGAGGTTTGCTATAGCCCTAATACACAGTCACGTCATTATTCAATGTTCCATTTAAAATCACAACATCTCTCCAATACCATCCATTTATCTCCTTGATGTTATTTTTTATTTTTTGTTGAACCAATGGGATGGTTTGTCCAAGGCCATTCTATATGCCGTTCGACCCATGTTCGCCTTTCTCTGCAGTCATTTCTAATGATATTGACCCAATATAATCCATACCACGTTGAAACGCGAAACTGGCTCGGACTGCTTCAAATTGCTTTGGACAATCAATCCTTATTATATATATTATTTAAAAGTATTAATCTATATAGTATATACTACGTAATGACTGCCACACTGTGCAGTCAAAAAATTTTTTGCCAGATCCTGGACACCACGTGTTTGTTTGTTTGTTGTTTTTTGTTTTTTTTTGTGTGTTTTGTAAAACCTCTGGGATGATTATTCTAGGACATCTAATCAGGTTTACCCTTGTGGCATAACTAAATGTTCTGCCCGATTCTATAAGCCGCAATTTTGGTAGATTGTGCAACATCTACCTATTCTATACCTATCAATGGTTAGATACAGGCCACAAACTATAGGCCTCATTTCATATTTCACGGCATGGTTTGTTTTCAAGACCCTGTGAGTATGTACATAATCTAACTGCATATATACTTAAATACTAAGGAATAAATCTACAATCCTCACATAGACTCACCTACATGTGATGGACAGATTACGGAAACAGTACACAGTGTAAAACAAGGACTAAGTTTACAATATCTCAATGCATGGTCTACTTTCCAGACCCTGTTAAGATAAATTTTAAAAAACCATTTATTCAAATAAGATACAGCATTACAGGAAAATTACACAACACAAAATCACAAGTCTTGTTACCAATTCTAAATTTGCAATATCGCAGTATGGTCAGATCCGACCCTGTGATAAGTTCATGTGCATCATCAAATTACACCTATCAATTACCAAGTAATAACTTTACATACAGTACATGCTAACTACAGTTACGATATTTCTACAACGGATTTACATAAAAAGATACAAAATAACGCACGCATAATGCGCGTGCACCTTTTGTACAATATTTCACGGCATCGTCTACTTTCAGGACCCCGTTGAGAATGATACAGATTCATTAGATTGGTAATGATTACAAGTAAACAGGTTCAAGATGCATGTGGAGGTCCTATCACCTATATTCCAGAATTGAAACATCAAATCACACATATCAATTACTAAGTAATAACTTTACATACAGAAAATGCCAACGTCAATTACGATATTTCTACAATGGATTCACATATAAGGATATGCAACGCACCGTTATACACGTGCACCTCTTATACGGGGTCTCACGGCATGGTCTACATTCAAGGCCCCGTTGCAAATATAAGAAATCCATTGGGTATATGTGTGTATATGTATGTATATGTGTATATGTGTATATGTGTATGTATGTATATGTATATGTGTGTATATGTGTACATATATGTGTAATGAATTAAGTAAACCACAGGTCCAAGACACATGTAGAGGTCTTATTAGCTATTCCAAAATTAAAATATTAACTTAAGAGGTCTTATTAGCTATTCCAAAATTAAAATAATAACTTTACATACAATACACGCTAACTTCAATTACGATATTTCTACAATGGATTTACATAAAAATACACAAAACAACGCAAGCATTACACGCGTGCACCTTCTACACAATATTTCACGGGATGGTCTATTTCATGACCCCGTTGAAAATATAAGAAATCCATTGGATGAATAATGATTATAAAATATAAGTAAACCACGGGTTCGAGACGCATGTAGAGGTCCTATTACCTATCCCAAAATTCAAATATGGTGAGGACAAGGCTCCTGGCGGTGAGGACAAGGTTCCTGGCGGTGAAGACAAGGTTCCTGGCGGTGAGGAATAGATTCCAAGCGGAAAGGACAAGGTTCCTGGTGGTGATGACAAGGTCCTGGGGCTGAGGAAAAAGGTTTTTGTCGTTGAGTACAAAGTTCCTGCCGGTGAGGACAAGGTTCCTGGCGGTGAGGACAAGGTTCCTGGCGGTGAGGACAAGGTTCCTGGCGGTGAGGACTAGGCTCCTGGCGCTGAGGAAAAGGTTTTTGGCGTTGAGTACAAAGTTGCTGGCAGTGAGGACAAGGTTCCAAGCGGTTAGGACAAGGTTCCTGGCGGTGCGGACAAAGTTCCTGGCGCTGAGGAAAAGGTTTTTGGCGTTGGGTACAAAGTTCCTGGCGGTGAGGACAAGGTTCCTGGCGTTGAGGACAAGGTTTCAAGCGGGGAGGACAAGGTTCCTGGCGCTGAGGAAAAGGTTTTTGGCGTTGAGTACAAAATTCCTGGCGGCGAGGACAAGGTTCCTGGCCGTGAGGACAAGGTTTCTGGCGGTGAAGGCAAGGTTCCTGGCGGTGCGGAATAGGTTCCAAGCGGTGAGGACAAGGTTCCTCGCGGTGAGGACATGGTTCGTGGCGCTGAGGAAAAGGTTTTTGACGTTGAGTACAAAGTTCCTGGCGGTGAGGATAAGGTTCTTGGCGGTGAGGACAAGGTTCCTGGCAGTAAGGACGAGGTTTCTGGTGGTGAAGACAAAGTTTCTGGCGGTAAGGACTAGGTTCC